TTTACTAAATTATTACAAATATATAATTCTTCTCACCCCCTGAATTCAAAAAATATACGACAAAAACATTGGTGATTTTATTATTCTTCTCCCCTGCATTTATTTAACAAACTTAGATTTCCGATCTTGTAATTTTAATATAAAAAAATCATGATTCTTCTCCGCCAGATGAATTTAGAATAACGGAAATATATGATTTTAATTTCTATGATGCATTAATGTGATTCTTTCTCTCTTTGGCCCTTTGCACTAATTAAAAATTGACTCTTTTTTCTTGTATTATTAAAAGTGTGAAATCATAAATTAACAATCATATGATAAGAAATATAAATTTTACAATACATTAAAAATATAATGATTATTCTCCCTCATATTATTTCAAAAATTATGTGAATGCAAAAAAATTAGTGGTTCTATGATTTTAATGAAATTTTACAAAAACTATTTCACAATTTTTATTCATTTTTTTCTTTCTTTTTTAAATATTCAATCATTTAAGTGTGTGAAAATATTTTGGTCAATACATAATGTTTTAAAAATACAAAGACTTACAATTTAAAAATTATATTTCTCTTTGATGTTGTAGTTTAACCTAAATCTTATTTACTTCTGGACATAAGATATTTTTCGTACTTCTCCTTAAAATACTGATTATACTTGCATCTAAATTTTAATTGTCACATATCTTCACGCGTTTCTCGACCTCCAAATCTTAATTTCTCTTATAGAAATATTTTTGTGAAAATCCATGTTATATCGCTTCATCTCTAAGAATATCATTTTTTTTAAATTTCTTTGTATGATTGCGAAAATGAAGAAAAGAGAATCGAGCCATACTTCATCCATCTTTTTTATTTTCATGCATCAATATAGTGAAATATCACCTAATATAAATTTATAAATCTCAAGTTACATCTTAAATATGGTAAGTTACAGTGCAAACCTTCTTTAATTAAAATAATAGGTCAAATTAGAAAGATAAAGTACAAAAGTCAAATTAAATAATCCTGCTAAGTAATACTCCGTATGGTTTAAACACTTAATATATATAATTTTAATATAGGGATTAAGAAGTATTTGTTATTTTACATCACTATTTAAATAAATGGAATAAAGCTAACTTCTCTTAATCATAACATAAAGAAATATGAA